GGGCTTCACTGCTACAACCCTGCTGGGCCGTCCGTCCCCGTTTTCCATTCTGGCCCTGGTCTGCTCTCTGTCCTTCATAGTCCCACCTCTGTCCCTGGCTCCTTCCTGCTTTCTCCCAGGTCCCAACTGCAGGAAGGGGGAAGGAGTGTTTGTTATGCCCAACATGGCAATTTAGAGCAGATAGCTCCATGGAAACAAAGCCACAAACTTGCTTTGCCCACTCCCTCACCCGCTGTGCCACCTGCCCAGCTCCTACATCCTGCTTCTGCTGCTGCCTCTTGACCAACAACCTGGGCTTTCTACACATATTTCAAAGTCACACTATAGAAACCAGCTTTGAAGGTAAAGACGTGTATTTACTTGAGTCCTTTATGAGCCCATAGGCAGGGTTTTAGAAAGTAGGACTCTTTTGCATAAGAGGTAGAGGCCCCTGAGTGCCCAGTTTCTAGAAGCCTTGGAGGACAGATTGCCACTGGCAGGTACCCCCTTCTACCTGAGGGATATTTCAGGGGACCAGGGAGAGATGCTGTGTTTGAGAAAGGTCAACTCTCTGGGACAACTTCCACTAAGGCTTTAAGATATGGAAAATTCCATCCTGTGGGTTGGGAACCTCTATTACAAACCTTGTTACTGAAAGAGTGAACCAGCTCATGGGGGAGGGGTGGGGGAAGGGTAATCTCCCCTTGCAGACAAAGGAGATAAAAGCAAGACAAAATGGTGACTCCAAAGGGAAGAGAATCTCTACCATCTACGTAAGGCATGCACTCCTTTCCGTGTTTTTCTCTTGTTTCAATCTTCTTATCAACTTTGTCAACATCCAAAAAGTTACTGGTGCTGCATCAACCCTAAACGCCCCTTTCCAGGCTTGCAGGAAGCCAGCACACACCCAGAACCACGCCAGCTGTCTGGACACATTTTCTCTCTCTGGCAGCACGGACATCAGCCAGGGCTGGGGGTGGCTGGATCGGTCAGGGTGGACAGATGACAGAGCTCTGGCAACAAGTCCCATTTTACAGACAGAAGGCAGACGCCTGGCCAGAGGGACTGGTCTTTGTGCTGGCTGTGCTGCTTCCAGAGTTACTCTGCACCTTATTCCCAAGAAGCACCAATGGGCCCAGAGGCTATAGCAACGCAGTGAAAGAAACCTCTCAAATAGGGATTTGTTCTGGTTGGAGGAAAGAAGATAGGGAGAAAAAACCTGAGGCTGAGACTCGTTTCATTTTTCAGGGAAGTAGGAAAAAAAAAAGAAAGAAAAGTTAAAGGAGGAAGTTCTCTGTCCACCAAGATCCACAGCCATCACCTAATGTATATTCTGTATTGCTTTGCACACCTCATTTAAACAAGCTAGGTTAAAACTCTGGACCCTAAAAGGATTTCTTTCATACTCAGGTACGTCATCCTCATTCAGAATCAATTTGTCTTAATCTTGTTTCCTTTTTGAAGATGTTGTCAAACTGCCTTTAGACCATCCCTCCCCCACCCCCAGGTCTCAATATGAAGCCTGTGTCCTTCTTTTTAGCAAGTAGCATATTGAACCATGGTATCCTTCCTTGACACATTCTCTCCACTCAGCTTCGGGAATGCCACACACTCCTCCTCTTTGCTCACTGCTGGCTCCTGCCCAGTCTCCTTTGCTGGTTCTTCCTCTTCTCCTCTCTGGCCCCCTCCTGATCTCAGCGGGACCCAGGATCTTAGATTCTGTCAGCACACTGACATCCAATTACTTCTCCAGACCAGACTTGACCTGCCCAACTCCAGACTCACACAGCCCACCACCTATCTGAGAGGCCTGGAACCTGGGGCCCTTTCCTGCAGTGCTGCAATGCTTTCACCTGGACACACCTCTCCTCGAGCAACAAAGTACAGAGAAACTAAGGGTCTAAAAATAACTGCATGTGCATGCAGTTAGGGACAGATTCCAGAACATAAGATAGAAACCAAAAAACCCCACTGCCACTTACAAAGAGCCTGGAGCAAAAGCAGGGTATTGTGCATGCCTGCTGCACACAACACGATCTAAGAGGGGGGCAAACCACCCAAGCCATCCCTCTGGCGCAACTCCTGGACACACCTCTACCCTCACCCCATATAAGGAACAAGCTTGCCCCCTTTCCTGGGGGAGTGAACAAGGGAACTTGGTGTCTGTTCTCACTCCCCACTACTGCAGCAGGAACCCTAATAAAGCCTTGCCTGAATATCGTATCTGACCTCTGATCAATTTCTATTGATGAAGGAGGCCAAGAATCTTGGTGGGTAACATACTCACACCTCTGCTTGCTTGATGGGCACATTGAACTTAGCATCAACTACCGATCAGCTTCCTCAAGCCGCAACCGCAGTCTTTTCATTTCAGTGGGCAGAGGGCTGTCCTTTCTAGGACCCCAACCTGGGAGCCACCCTTGACCCTGCTTCTTCCTTCACTCCACCTCCAATCTATCGTGTTGTATTTTTAGTTAGAACTGGAATGAGACTATTGTCACTGCTTGTATTGTACAGTGTCCCAAATCTGACTATTAATATTTAAAGTTAATTAACATAAAAACAAATTAAAATAGAGGAAAATGGAACTCTTAGAGAAACTATGGCAAAAAATTAAATTAAAAAATCCAGGTCTATTCTCATACTAGTCACACTGCAAGAACTCCTGAGTCCTAGGTGGGTAATGGCCACGGTACTAGAGCTGCTACAGAACATGCTCTTCACTACAGACAGTCCTGTTACTAGCCCATGTTGCCCACTCCTTCACAGGGATCACCTTGGTCTCAGCCACTAACACATCTTGCTTGGATAAGTATAATGGCCTTCTAGTCCATCTGGCTTCTTCAGTCTTCTCAAAATAGCAGCCAGAGTGGTCCTTAGAAAGCATCTCAGATCATGCTGCTGCTCTGTTCAGATTGCCCAAAGGCCCCCATGGATGGCCCTCAGGGGAGAAGCACAGTCCTCAGAAAGGTGAGCAAGGCCTTACAAGAGCTCTGACTCCTTCTCTACTTATCTGACCTCATCTCCTAGTCTTCCAACACCCTCCTTCTGCCACAGCCACACTGACTGCACCAGCATCAAGGTGTCGGCACTGATGGTTCCCTGGCTGAGAATGCGCTTCCCCCAGATGTATTAGGGGCTCACTCTCTCCTCCTCCACATGTCTGCTCAAATACCACCTTCTTAATGAGCCTTGGGCTTCCCTGGTAGCTCAGATGGTAAGGAATCTGCCTGCAATGCAGGAGACCCGAGTATGATCCCAGGGTCAGGCAACCCACTCAAGTACTCTTGCCTGGAGAATCCCATGGACAGAAGAGCCTGGAGGGCTACAGTTCATGGGGTTGCAAAGAGTCAGACATCACTGAGTAATTAACACAGCAACAACAGTGAGCCTTATTCAGACTGCTCTATTGAAATTTTAACATCTGAGCCCCCTCCTCCCCCTCCGATCCCACCAAACACCACTCCTGAGCAGTCCTGCTCTTCCATATCCTATCCGCTTTACTTGCCTCTTCCATATCTCCTTTCAACAAAATATATTCATTTACTAGTTTATTACAGCCAGGAGATACAAGAGACACGGGTTTGATCCCTGGGTCGGGAAGATCCCCTGGAGTAGGAAATGGCAACTCACTCCAGTATTCTTGCCTGGAAAATCCCATGGATAGCAGAACCAGGAACGTTACAGTCTATGGGTGGCAAAGAGTCGGACACAACTTAGTAACTAAACACCACCAACAAATATCTATCTTTTACTGCTTGGCACAGATCTTTGTTCATTCCTTCACTGCCAGAAAGCTGACCCAGAGGAGACCTTTAATAAGTATTTGTTCAATAAATGCATGAAATTAGAGCCAGGAAGAACAGTTAAGGGTCAGTGGGGTGAGGTTATTCACTGTGGACCCATGCTAAGTGCAAGGGAGGAGCTAGACTGGGAGTTGGCCTGGCCTTGAGCATCTTCACGGAGAAGGACCCTTGACGATTAATTCCCCTTCCCCTTGACTGTTAAAACAGAGGGACACTGACAAAGCCCTGAGAGCTTACAAGGACCACAGCCTAATTAAAGGGCCAGGGGCATTGGTCACTCTCCTTTTGGTAAGTCTTTGCAGGATCCACCGTTGGTCCTGCCTTTCTGGTGACTTGTAGGATGCAAGGAGCAAAAAGGAGGCTCAGGTTAATGGCTATTCTTACATGCCCATCTTACCCCACATGTCACAGATACCAAGACAAATGGAAAACTGGTAACACACAATTACTAGTTAATTTCTTTTTTTCAAAAGTAACATATCGGACTGGTTTTAAAAAGACCAGTCATGGTTACAACAGATAATTGCCAAATTAGTATTTGATAAAAGTTGACTAGTATGGAAAGAATGATTCTCCATTGATTCATTAAAGTATTTCTGATAATCAAGAGTGGATCAGGAGAAAAGCAGATCCTGGATCACACTCTGCATTAGGGGTCATCTGTCCTCTTGTATCTGTAAGGAAATGCCATCTAACTATATATATTTTTAAATGCCTTGGGATGAAGGCTTTTCTAGTGCCAATTCTCTTTCAAATAAAAATAATGTGAGGGAGTTTTAGCATAGTAAACAGACCTGCTCATAATGGGTAACAGGTCCAGAGTTACAGAGTATGATATGAGCAGAGAGCCTGCAACACCCCATCCATAGCTCATGGGGTGATTTAACTTGCCAAAGTGTGTAATTAAGAACACAGTTATCTTTATAGCCATCCCTTCATTATGAAGATAACTCCATTGGAGACTTTTTGGGAGACGCCAGATTTGGAAATAAAATCCTTTCAGACTGCACTGCAATGTCATTAAGATAATACCAAAAAACAAATTGATGCGTGTAGACAATCTTCCGTAAGTACCAGGAAATTAGATATCAGGAGAGACACGGAACTAAGATGTAAGATCTAAGTGAGGTTGAAACACAGCCTGGTGAAAGGCATGATCGAAGGCTACCCAAGACAGAGGCGCCCCGAATTTCCCGGGGGCCCGGCGGGTGTTACCTGGGGTGGTGCTCTTCATTGCTTTCACTAACTGGCCCCTTCCAGCTCCAAAACCATTATTTCCATAGTCCGGGTCACTGTCACTATCACTGCCACCGCTGGCAGAGTATGCACACATTCTGGGTACCTTGTCCTAAATGAGTAATATGAGACTGTTAAGATTATTCATGCAAGTCAACAGGGACAGTGCACCCCGTGAGGATGTGCATATCTGGCTGTTGGTCTGTGCACAGAACTCTATCCCCATCACCCCACCCTCACTGCCTGGCCCATTGATCTGTTTCACGTGGAACTGCTGCGTTCCACTAGGTTATCAGAGCTGCACAAATTGGAATCCGCTTATGAAGCCGTACACTGCCATTGTCCAGGTATGGAACAGTCCACACAGTTACCCCCTCTGCATTTTGTACACTATTTATGGCATCTTATTTTTCTCATATCTGGCTGTTGGTCTGTGCACAGAACTCTATCCCCATCACCCCACCCTCACTGCCTGGCCCATTGATCTGTTTCACGTGGAACTGCTGCGTTCCACTAGGTTATCAGAGCTGCACAAATTGGAATCCGCTTATGAAGCCGTACATTGCCATTGTCCAGGTATGGAACAGTCCACACAGTTACCCCCTCTGCATTTTGTACACTATTTATGGCATCTTATTTTTCTCAAATGCCCATTAGAGCTGCTGTCCCAAGCCTAATGGCTTATTTATCTAGCTGATCTCACCACTAGCTTTCAAGTATCAGAGAGTATGATGATAATCAACCTTGGAAACAAAAGAATAAATGTTTGCCCAATACGTAATTTTATTCCAGTCCCTGAAAGACTAAAAGCCTTTAGGAAAGTACACAATTGCTGGCTCTATAGGGTTATATGTAATCACTGAATCTACTAATACTTCAAAGGTCAAGGGAATCCGTCTCCTCTCTTGCTCACATAAACACACGACATGACCCATGAAGATGTCACAGGTATGGCAATAAAGCCAAGTTCAGGAACTGTTGAGGTTGTTCAAACTGTATGGATGGTTTTTCACACTGTGCACATAAGCAGAATACTGGTTTCTAAGACCTCAACCCCTTTGTGTAGAATCAAGAGCATTTGGGGCTTTCTTTTACATTTGCAGACTGCCCTCTTAGGACCAATTATTCTACACCCACCCCAGGTAGTTTATGCACAGATGTGTGGGATGTCTCTAAAGTTAAATCTGTTTGGGAGGGTGCCATTTGGTCAGAAATGATAAAAACGTATTTTAGGATGTAAGCTCCTTTATCTAGGGTTATGAATCCAAGCAATTACTCATTTCCTTTATTCCTTCATTCATTTAATCATTCATCCACCCATTCCAAAGATTCTGTGCTAAGCATCTTAGTACCTATTCTAGGCTAAGTGGTGTCCTAGGTTCTGGGGGGTACAGAGCTCAATCCAGGAAATATTGGTGGTCTAGCAAGGATGACATTTATGAAGGATGACAGGTCTACAGCAGTGGTTCCAAGGGAGTCCCGTGTCTATAGTGTTCTGGCAGGAAGCTGGGTATGATGAAATGCATTTTCATCCCTTTATTCAAGAGACATGAATGGAACCAACCACTTTACTTGGAACTAGAAATATAAAGCTCACCCATACTTCACACTTTCCCTCCCTAGCAGTCAATGAAGCAGAGTTATGAGTTCCAAGCCCCAGTGATGACTCTTATAAGACCATGCAGGATTTCCAATGGACTGAGCTGGGGAAGGAACCCCAGAGAGCAGTGTGTGTGCTGGGGATGTGAATATTCATAGAGGCTCCCTCCTGCCAGCACTGAATGACATCCCCCTCTTTTTTTTTTTTTGCTTTTGTTTTATTACTTTCTTGAAATTGCTTGAACCCTTTGCCACAATCATTACCTATTGTTTCTGAACTGTTTCCCCTCCAAGTCTGGGTGTCTTTTAGAGTTTTACAAATTTTTTAGTTCCACAAAGCAAGCACAGAGTTCTTGAAGCATTGCTTCTCAAAATGTGTTCTGCAGACAGCATCACCTGGGAATTGATTAGAAGTGTTTGGATCTCACCCCATCTATGCCAAACAAGACTCTGGGTGCATGAGGCAGGCAGCAAGATGTGTAGCACTCCACGTGATTCTGATGTCTGCTCACATGTGGCAGCTACTGCTTTAGAGGAAACTGAGAAAAGCCTGACATTTCTGTGTCTGATTAAGGCATGACAAAACACACTTGCTTACGCCTTTGCCTTTCAGACCCTGTTCTGAGGGCTGGATGTGGAACTCAGAGGGCTGCGTTCTAAGCCTAGTGCCACAGTAACTTCCCCTTGGACCCTGACCACGGTCCAGCACCTCTGGGGCTGGGGTCCTCTGCTGTACATTGAGGCTATGGGCCCAGGGGATCACTTCCCCTACTTGTCCAGGTTCCCATCTCCATCCTGAGGTGTTCAAGGCTGAAAGAAGGCTCCACCACACTGGCTATGTGGATCTCTGATGTGGGCTAATCTGGTATTTGCTCATCACAGTTGGGTAGAAACCCTAGTGAAATAGTAACAGGGCCTCCTAATGCCAGGAGTGGGAAGGCGGAGGTGGCAGAGGCAGGAAGGGCCAGGAAGCTCTGGGGGTTGACTCTTACGTCCTTCCACGCACTCTTCTCACTGTGTGTGGGCACCACCAAAGACCCCAAAGTGGGCCAGCCCAAGGACAAGGTGAGAAATCGTGGACATGCTGAACGTGGCCCAGGTAATGAGTTGGAAGAGGTGAGCAGGAGGGTCCCGAGGGGAAATACCATGTAGCTCCTGGAGAAGACCCAAGAGGCCCTGAGCCCTGAGCTCCTCCCCAGGTCCAGTCACACGTCAGGAGGCCTGTACGTGTGCCATCTCAGGAGGGGGAAGAACAAAGGACTGCAAAAATGACAGGGACTGAAGAAACACACGTCTCACCGATCCCAGCAAGTCATTGACCACTCCAGGCCTCGGTTTCTTAATCCCTAAAGGGAATATAATCACACCTGCTTTACCTGTCTCATAGGTGCAAGGTAAAGTTGATGTAACTGATAAGATAATGAAAAAATAATCATGAATTCATTCTAAGTGGTGCCGTTATGGTTTGGGAGCGAGAATGACAGTCCCACAACATCTCATCAGGGCAGAGAATCCTTACCTCGGGAGTCAGGGTGCAGATGGGCAGAAGCAGTTAAGTTACAAGGACACAGTGTTATCTAATAATTTAGGGAAAAAGGAGAGCCGTGGGCCCTTGGTCATTCTTCACTGAACCACAACGAATTTGATTTAACATTCACTCTACCACAGAAGTGGTTAAGGAGGTCATTTTTCACACTCAGGCCCAGCAGATGGAGGGTTCCCTCCTGGCAATCTCTCCTTACCTGGGTCTCTGCAGCAGCGCCTTCACCCTCCCAGGCTGGAAGTGGCTTGCTCGCCATTGTGTTTTCAACATATTCGAATGATGAACAATTTTGAGACCTTGGCTCGACTTCACTCTGCATTTGGGAATTGATTTTTCCTAAATGAGGAAATGTATATGAAATCACAATCAGCTTTATTCAACTCTTTACAAATTTAGGGAGGAGGGGAGGACATATAGAAATAATCAAAATGGTCCAAACATGGCAAAAGCTTGGTTTGCCAACATTCTGTCCCCTGCAAGTCTTGCTAACAGAAGTGTCTGCATAATTGTATGCATCGTTAGAGGATGTTCAGTCTTGGAGACCCAAAGGCAAACTGCCCTTGGACCACTTTTCCACAAGATGTTGATAGACTTTTCATGTTAGAAAGCATTTAGTGGACAAACAGCTTGGGAAACACTGATCATTCTTCAGATAGTGTTATATTAATACATCAAATAGCAAATTGATGTCTTCTTTTAGAAAAAAAAAGGACTTTGTGTTAATTGGAGGAAAACTGGTTCATATATTGTGTTGGTTTCTGCCACACATGCCAACATGAATCAGCCACAGGTATGCATATGTCCCCTCCTTCCTGAATCCCCCTCCCATCTCCTGCCCCATCCCATCCCTCTAGGTTGTCACACAGCACTGGATTGAGCCCCCTGTGTCACACAGCAAAGTCCCACTTGCTATCTGTTCTACATATGGTAATATATATGTTTCCATACTATTCTCTCAATTCGTCCCACCCTTTCCTTCTTCCATTGTGTCCACAAGTCTGTTTTCTATGTATGCATCTCCACTGTTGTCCTGCAAATGGGTTCAATGGTACCAACTTTTTAGAGTCCAGATGCATGTGTTAATATACAAAGAACAAATGGGTTTCATTTTTGGACTACTCCTCACAGTCTTCATTGTGCTGATGGGGACAGTCATGATTTCCAAAGGGAGGATTTGAATTTGCGGCTTTTCCCAAACATGGTTGATTAGGGAGCCCTGATTTTCCTAGCAACCTGATGAAGATCATTTTGAAATAGGTGGTTTGGGAAACTGCACAGAGGCCCTTAAAGATCTTGCTGGGCAGTACTGTGCAAGCTCAAATGTGCATATGCTTCCAGAGCTTTTGTAATACTTCAGATTCTGATCCTGATGCGGTGGTCTGGAGTGGGGTCTGAGAACTGGCATTTCTGACAAGTTCCCAGGGGCTGCTGCTGGACCAGGGATTACATTTTAAGTAGCCAGGGTGCAATTAGCAGAGAACGATTAAAGTTCTTCCATAACCCATAATAGTGGATTAACCTGCAGAGTGTAGTCCCTCCTCATGTTGGAATGGAGAATTGCTGTTATTATTGCTCCAGCCTCAATGATTATCAATAGGACATGCTGTGAGAGCCTCTCAGTAGCATTTTGCTTGTGAGCAGAAGCAAAGTAATTGTATTTTCATCAGCAATGGGAGATCTGTACAGTTACTTCCATTTTTGATATGGGGATAAGAAAATAACCAATTCCAATGCATATTTTAACCAGAAGTGACTGCGTGAAACTACCTTCCTTTTTGTTCCATCTAGTTTTCTGCTCCTTAATTTTTAAGATGAGTAACCAACAGTCACAGAAGAGAGAGGAGTCTTGGAAAGCAGGCCTTGCCTCTGACGCATGGTGACAACATCCTAAGGTGGGCAGGAAGGTTCAGGATGGACAGTACAAAAATGTCCTGCGTCGTGTTGACCTCACTCTCTACCACATACCACTTTTTTTTTTTTTAAACAACTCTTCATGATGATTTAATTAAGACACAAACCTTAGAAAACTGGAACACTGAATATTAGCAGCAAGATCAGAACAATCTCCTTCCCATTCTCTTCCTATGAAGCAATTCAAGGCTTGCGGTTTCTATTCAATCTGTTATAATGACAGTGTTTAATCATGGAGTCTGCTTGGCAGCCAGTTGCTGAATTGAGGTCACACATGTGGCTAGTCAGGCATGGAGCACATAATCTATAACTACAATTTCGCCCCTGAATCTCTGGAGGCTGTATCATTAATTAACAATGCATTTACTTCAAAAATAATATGCATTCCGGCCTTTTAAAATGTAGCCTTGGCTTGAGATGAGCAGAAGTTTGTGATGAAACATTCACAGCAGTTAGTATTACTGTGTGGAGGAAGAACTTAGCCATGGAAATACCCAATCACATCAATTCAAAGATGATTAATGAAAAGTCTGCATTTCTAATTTCTCAGAAGCCCCTGGTATAATCTCTACTTGTGGTTCCTTTCTCATCTTCAAATCATAAATGAAAGCCTTCAGCATTCTAGCTCATATGCTTATGCACATTATAAATGCAACACGGGCCATACAAGTTACAAATTATTTAGTGTCATCCTGAACTGTAATAAATATTTTTAATCTTGAGTGAACAGTGAAAAAACTTTGACCCTTAGCCTGGTCCTGTCTTTAATCATCAAAGCCTGTTTCAACTGACTGTAGCGAAGGATAGTTCTTCTCAGGCGGAAGGTTCCCTCCATTCCACTGTCGTTAATGCACAATCTACTGCTAATATATCAAACTACATTTTTTATAGTTCAACATATAAATACATTTGAACAGGATAGGAATATGTCAGAAGACGTATGTTTCTGCTTAGAGGGCAAACAACACTTCAGCTAAATTTATGTCTTGGGCCTAGATTGGTCTATACTCAGAGTTAAGATTTTAAAGATAAAATCTGAAGTGTATGTCATATAGGTTTTTCTGTATCAATTTCTATATCCATATACCTGTGCTTACCAGCTGGTATCCTTTAAGTGTGTGTGTGCATGTGCATGCTAAGTCACTTCAGTTTGTGTCTGACTCTTTGTGACCCCATGGACCACAGACCCCAGGCTCCTCTGTCCATTGGGATTCTCCAGGCAAGAATACTGGAGTGGGTTGCCATACCCTCCTCCAGGGGATCTTCCCAACCCAGGATCAAACCGAGGTCCCCTACATTGGCAGGTGAGTTCTTTGCCACTAGGGCAATCTAGGCTCCTTAAATAATACTAAGAGTTGATGATGTTTAGTACTTACTTTTGTAATTTTTGGGGGCTCAGACAGTAAAGAGTCTGCCTGCAGTGCAGGAGACCTGGGTTCAATAGCTGTGTTGGGAAGATCCCCTGGAAAAGGCAATGGCAACCCAGTCCATATTCTCGCCTGGAGAATCCCATGGACGGAAGAGCCTGGCAGGCTACAGTCCATGGGGTCGCAAAGAGTTGGTCATGACTGAGCGACTTCACTTCACTTTGTAACTTCTTGGTTGAGGACATAAAGGGATTTCATGCATACCTACTTCCACTGGACAGAGGTCATTGGCTGACCTGGTGGGAACCTTTTCTGCTGCCTGTTTTCCATTTTTGTGAGCAAGTACATGACTTTGATGAGAAAACAATCTCATCTGAGAGGTAAGGGGCACTGTACCTGAGGAGGCTGGTTTGGGGAGGAGACTTTGGAGAGGTCGCATCCCTCTGGCAGTCATGATGGGGTCGGATGCGGAGTGGACAATGGCATTGTCCTCAGAGCCCTGGCTGTCTGCAGCGGAAGGCACTTCTCTTTCAAGGGTCTGGGCTCTCACGGAAGAAGCGGCACAAAGGGCCGGCTGGAGAGACAGGCTGGGGTCAGTGTCCTCGGGGGCGTCTGCTTGGCGTATGTACCGTCCCGCGGCGCGTGCTCCTGCGTCTGGGAGTGGGAAGGTGCCAATCCCACTGTCCAGGGTCCTCATCTGGCAGTTTGTTTCTAGACAGAGTAACACAGTGAGGGTGAGAGACGGCTCACAGAAAAGGAGAGGAGGATCGTGAGCGTCTGGATCTGGTCTGGAGGAAAAGGGATATCTAGAGGGAAGAAGTACTATTAAGGGTGTAGTAAGTTTCTAATGAGTTGGATGAAACAGACATTTATTTGAACACAGAAATATTCTCATAATATAATATGAAGTTAGAAGGCTGGCCATTATTGGCAGCAAGGGTCATGTGTACATACAATGTGCATGGTTCTCTAGAGTTGTAAGAGAAAACAGTCATTAGAGGCCAAGAATTATTTTTGCTCACTCTTATTTATTTATTTGGCTGTGCTGTGTCTTAGTTGCGGCACGTGGGATCTAGTTCCCTGACCAGGGAATGAACCTGGGCCCCCCGCAATAGGAGCAGGGGATCTTAGCCACAGGACCAGCAGGGAAGTCCCTATTTTTGCTCACTATTATTTCAATTGAGAACCATATGACTTCAATCAATTGGGTGACATTTATTAACTGAAATAAGAAGAGTAATGAGCACACATAACAAACTGAAGTGATGTCCTAACAAAGGAGATTGTGCATCTTTTACCATGAATTATCATCCATCCAGTAGTTCACTAAGTCTCCAGTCTCTCAATTTGACTGTGAGGACAAGAAATTCACATTCTACAAGGGCATTCCCCCAAATACATCACCTATCATGTGGGCATCCTGTGACTCCACTGCCATCTAAGGTCTTCCTGAGAAGATTCTAGGGCCACTTTCTGTCTTTCCATCTACCTTTCTCAGTGGCAAAACTCATCAGTGCTCTTTGGAGTTCTTATTTCCAGGGATCCCACTATTCGCCAAAACAAACCAAGCTGATTTCACCATATGTGTGACATATTCTGCTAGTTACATCTCAACTTCAAAATGTTTTTTATCCAAGAAAAAATATTATATCTGAAAAAAATTATTACATGGTTAATTCCTGAAATGAGATGTAGTTTATCTAAGCTAATGAGATAGCTTCCAGGATTTGCCTGTGACCCAAAAGCCTCCTGTTCACATTACAATCTTAGAATGAAACATCCTTCATATAATTTATATTACCATCTTAGTCCAGGACTGGGGAATAGGCACATCTCAGCACTGTGTTAGGCATGGTGAGGAATGTAATAGAATATGTCATGATCTTTGTACCAAGAGGCTCAACAACTAACATTTCAGTGGTGCTTGGAGTCTGGTCTCTGCTAATTACTAACTGTGTGAACTTGTCACAGAAGATCCTTAACCCCTCAAGGTCTCAAGTTCATTATGAGTTGCTGTGAGAATAGAAATATGTTCACTGTGGAATTTCTTAAATTTAGCACACCATCAATAGCTGAGTGAAGGAAATAATCAATGATGACATAGACAATATGCTAGGGATATTTATTAGATTTCAGTAGATATGTGATAGGTATATAGTTTATCTTTGAGGATTTTTCTTACAAATCCCACTGGATATACATCAATTAGTATCTGAAGAGCAGATCTGCCTATTCCCCTACTCTCCCCCTCGAAACCTCTTTGCTCTGAGTAATAGCATTCTGGGAATTTCTGGATACTAAGGTGAAAACAAAGGGCGTGGAGATGGGTGCAGAGCTGACTTTTATAGGTTCTATTAGGTTTGGTGCTTGGTTTTAGAAGCTCTTATGAAGTCCCCATCAAAAGAGCGGATTCAGTCTCCAAAGTGAAAGTTAGCAGGAAGGTGCAGACACCCTTTCTCCAGTATGGTGCCATTTAGCCATCTCATACGCCATCTGATCTCAAGAGGCTGGTCATGGACTTAAGGAGCCCCGAATCACACCACTATAGTCTCAGATCTTTCCCAGAACCACAAGGGCTAAGTTTTAGGTCCACTCATTTCAGGGCCTCCACCCAGTCAGCTTTCTTCTCACTCAGCTTCCCAGACTGTTCATTATCTTCTCTGCTCATTTTCTCCTCAGTTAAGCAAACTCAATTGCTACAAAAGAGACTTTTAGAAAAGTACTCAGCTGTTTGCATGGGAAAGCACAGCCAGAAAAGAAAGATCTTCTGATTCACAATTTGGTGTCCTTTCTTCATGCTAACCTAGATATATGGCAGTCCTCATGTTTAGCATGTCCATATGTTGTACTTGGGGCAATTTTAACTGTCTAAATTATTTCAATCTCACACAGAAGTAAGTGGATCAGTCTTTAGGGATGGGGATCAAAGATTCATGGAATGTAACAGCTTTGATGTGTCAGTCCCTGTGTGCCCCAGGCTGCCTGCCATAAGAATTTCCTCCCAGCATCTTCAGGATGCTTCAGTTCTGGATCTAACAGTTAACAGGTCTAGGGTTCTGTTCACTCAATGGCTCAGTTAACAATCATTGAGGCAGCCTTGTGAGCTGAAAGCACAGAGAATGGCCCCCTACTTCTGGCCAGGGAGCCCTGCTTGTCCTCTGGGACTGGGGCTGGCCCCGAATACCAGCTGGCTCCCACACTTCTCATCCTGAAAATGGAGTCAGTGGCTGGCGTTTCTGGCATCTGCATGGTTCCTGAGAACCACAGGTACTCGGGCTCTCTTCCTGCACCCTCTCGGATTGCATCTGTAGACTTCCATGCCAGGTTTTTTAAAAAATCTTACCTCTCTGGGCTTGGTGATAGGCATCGCCTCCAAGGGCAATATTTTTTTGGCTTGGTTGAAGAATTCTGTAGGCATTTTATGGGTTAATCTAGTCCCCTGAAATGCAAACTCACAAAGCACTGTAGGATTATTGGTAACCTTTCTAGTGATTTTCTGGGGAAAGGCCCCAGACATCAAAGCCTGTTGATGCTGCCTGGCCTGGAACACCAGGCAACGAATAGGACAGGGAGAAATCTGGGGTAGGAAGAATGATAAAGGAAGTCTAACTCTCATGTCCTTCTGAGGACACCAACATTTTTTCATATCTGTCCCTTTAAATTATTCTTCTTTCCCTTCTCTTCCTCCACAATATTGTCCTGGTTAGAATCTACAAAACAGAACTTCTGGTATTCCTGAGTTTTCTCATTCTCTCAGACTGTGTGCATTGACATTAAGCTCAGAAATCATCTGCCATTAAAGCCATCTTTTTATTTCTAAAAATTACAGATGCCAAATGTAGTGAATTTGAAGGACTCAACTGTAAGTACCTATGAAATGAGGTGTGGACAGTCAGGAACTCAGACACCATATGCCAAGTTTCCCCCTCAAGCAAAATTTCTCCAGAATGCAAAAACCTTTGGAAATAGAGTTTATACTGAAAATGCTGACACCTTCTTTATGTAGTTTCTTTAAGGCACTATAAGTTTCTCACAGTTCATAAAAAAATATTGTAATCTGAAAAAGTGTTAGATATTGTACTTTTGAAGTCAGTTTTTTTTTTTCCCTTAGGGAATTATAAGAACTCACAAAATAATCGAATAAGATAAGAATAAAGATCATGGCATCTGGTCCCATCACTTCATGGCAAATAGATGGGGAACAGTAGAAACAGTGGCAGACTTTATTTTTTGGGCTCCAAAAATCACTGCAGATGGTGGCTGCAGCCATGAAATTAAAAGACCCTTGCTCCTGGAAGAAAAGTCATGATCAACCTAGACAGCATATTAAAAAGCAGAGACATTTCTTTGCCAACAAAGGTCCATCTAGTCAAAGCTTTTCCAGTAGTCATGTATGGATGTGAGAGAAAGCTGAGCACCGAAGAACTGATGTTTTGAACTGTGGTGTTGGAGAAGACTCTTGAGAGTCCCTTGTTCAGAAGGAGATTCAAACAGTCCATCCTAAAGGAAATCAGTCCTGAATATTCACTGGAAGGACTGATGCTGAAGCTGAACCTCCAAATCTCTGGCCACCTGATGCAAAGAACCGACTCATTTGAAAAGACCCTGATGCTGGGAAAGATTGAAGGCAGGAGAAGGGGACGACAGAGGATGAGATGGTTGGATGGCATCACTGACTCAATGGACATGAGTCTGAGTAAGCTCTGGGAGTTGGTGATGGACAGGGAGGCCTGGTGTGCTGCAGTCCATGGGGTTGCAAAGAGTCAGACATGACTGAGCGACTGAACTGAACTGAACTGAAGAATAAAGTTCAAAGGCACACACTGGTTTTGCATCCACAATGAGTTGATTCAGTCTTGACCTCAACAAGTCTAAGTTCACATTTGTGGCTATGAAAATAGCTGCCAAAAGGGCCTTGCCGATGAGTTTAAGGACTGGGTCACTAGGTGGATTGGCAGGTTTCATTCTCTCAAGGTCATCAATGACTTCTCTGTCCCTGGTAACTTGTCATCATTTGCCTTCTGTCTTCCAAGGTAAGTTTTATCAATTATCACCACCACCAAGGCCCAGATGTTTCATGAGATGACTTGCATCAGTGCTTCCCAGCCCTTTTAAAGTCCTGGCACACACAAGAATTATATGACTCACCGGGGAACATACCACCTGCCCCTGGACCCCTGGCCACCTGAGTCCTGAGGGCTCAACATCTCAGTATACCTGGGGTCCATTCATGGCACGTCAGCACGGGAGGGAATCTCTTCCTTAGTGTGGACTTGGGACCTCCTCTTACTATCACCTTTGTTTTGCATACTTGTGGCAGGAAAGGAAACGAACAGATTTGCAGTCTGTTAGCAGCTGATAGGAGAATCTCTAGGCCCTTCTTTTTTGGAAAGAATGTTGAGAGTACTTGGGTTAGGAATACTGTCTGGCCTCAAAACTTCAATAAAGAGAGATTTATTGTGCCTGAGAGAGGGGATGAGTGGGCTAGGGGTGAGCAACCAAGAAGGGTGACATTATGTGTGTGATGGTGGTAAGAAGACATTTTGGAGAAACATTTCAACCAGGGGCTTTTCAGCTGTTAACTTAGGATGTGCAATACAAAATCTCCACTCAGCTTCATCAGTGAGCATCAGCCCTCCGCTCCTGAATCAGGTGCCCCAGCAAGTAGCTTTAATTTTCTCATTGGAAAATTAGATTATAAAACCTCCATC